GAGAGAGAGAGAGAGAGAGAGAGAGAGAGAGAGAGAGAGATGACAGGTATGTTGTAATAAAATACCCGACGATCGCTGACTCCCATAACCAGGTTTCGGGAAAATGTTTCCTAATTTTATGGGTATTTTGTTTGACTGAAGGGGAGGTTTGCGGTCGTATTGCGGATACTTTGTTAATTTGAGGAACGGAGCCGTCGAAAGCCGCGCCTCCCATTGCTGCTCCTGGTTTGGGTCGACCGCCGCCAAAACCTCCTATATTATTAACGCAAAAATTAATCAAGCAATGTATTAGCAAACTACTTAAGACCAACTTATATCTATCACGGTTAGTATTGTTTTTTAGTGAACAATTATTCTAAATATAATTAGATGATGACGGTTATTCTAATAATATCTATGTTAATTTGATTTATACATGTTTATATATATAAGTGGTTATTTTAAGTTATTTTATTAATGATCATTATTGGATATGGGTGGAATCTAAAATAATTTAGTCAACGCACGATAATTTGTTCGGTCAACTAAGTTGTGGTGAATTTTGTCACCAATAGTAGCGGCAATATAATTAAAAATAGCAAATACTGGGAAACAAGTGAATTCCAAATCCATGTTTCGGGAAAATGTTTTCTAACTTTGGGTTCGGGACTCGCATTGGGGTCGGGAATGGCCACAGACTTAGCCATTGGTAAACTCTCTGCCATTGAAAACATTGCTAACGGAGCGGCGGAACCAAATGCCACTCCCCTGCTCAAACTTTGTGGGGCACCAAATAGTGAGCTAGCTATAATAAAAATTTTAATTATATAAAGTGAACAATGATACACAATAACATGGTTGCTTTATCAAATTGTATTATGTTATAAACATTTCTAAACTAATAAAATGTCATTGTTAATTTAGAATGCAGTATAAATGGTTTGTGTTTTTCAACATGCTGGAGGAAATCAAGATCAAGTACATTAAATCAAGTAGAATAAACTACTCAAATACTTAATTAAATATTATGCATTTCCATGCATTTCTGTCAACACAACACGTAAGTGCTCTAAAAAATTATTTAGAAATATACGTCTAAATACATGGAAACGTCGGAACTCCAGATCCAAGTTTCCGGAAAGTTTTTTCTAACCCTCACTGGTTTAATAGTATCTGAGGGAAGAGTCAGGTCATTGGATATCTCTCCCAGTGTATCCCCGTGGCCCCGTTCCATAACCATGGTTATATTATGTTTTAAAATTTTGTTAATTAAATCTAATATTAAAGATAATATTAAACAAATGTTAATGTTTGTGATTAGTAGAGCGGCAATTCTTTGGGAATTTGAAAATAAAATATCAAGTTAATTAAAATATCGGAAAGTCATCTACCCTTTGACTAGGATCTCACAATATGTTCAAGATAGATTTATGGAAAAATTTAACATATTTCGGTTTCAACACTATTGAGTGCATTCTCTTATAAAATATAAATTATAATATTAAATATTAAATCAAATACTGGGTCACAATTGATGTCCAAATCCAAGTCTCAGGAAAGTTTTTTCTAACTTTTAACGATTTCCGATTTACTGATTGGACAGTTGGGTTCGGGGGAGCCTCGGGTGGTATTTCCCTATCCAATGACGAGGCAGGCGTGGAAATAAATTCCTGTGCCTCTAGCATTACATCCATGTCTTATTTAATACAATATACAAAATCATAGTTGTTTATAAAATAATATTGATGATAAAATCAAAATTATATTAATTAAATCATATCATTAATTATTTTTATAGATTAGTAATTATATATTTGATTTGTTAAAAGTTTTATGATGGTAAATCATTATCATTTGAAAATAATGCAAATAAATTAACCATAATGTTATGTTAAGCAAAAAATATATCTGGCTTAAATTAAAATATTTTGTCACTCATTGAATGTTTCGGTCACAACACTATTGCGCGCATTAAGCGATCAAAATATAAAACAAAAAAACAAATACTGGGCAACAATTGACGTCCAAAGCCATGTTTCGGGAAAATGTTTTCTAACTTTCACTGACTGAGCCGTATCGGTGGATGCCTTAACTGTCCTAGCTCGTACATGTTCAACATTGGCTACATGTACTTTTTTGTGCATAATTCTCTTACCACCACCAGCAGCACTCATTGGTCTTCCAAAGCCTCGCCTCCCAGGGCCTGTAGTGTATGTTTCAATATAATTATCTAGTTATTATTAATATAAATAGAAAATTATTTGCTGCATATTTTGGTCAACTCTATTGAGCGCATTAAATGATTAGTTAAAACAATAATTAAATACTGGGCAACAATTAATGTCCAAATCCATGTTTCTGGAAAATGTTTTCTAACTTTTATGGTCTGTGTTGCTGTGTGTGAGGATAGGACTGCCGGTGCCGTATCGGCCATGGCTTCGTACAATACACCCTCACTCTTCGGGACCACGTTTGGATCCCAGGCTATCCCATAATACCCTTTAGTTTCTTGTTCAAGTTAGTTTTGTGCTAAATAATTACCAGGTTATAACATTAAGACAGTTACAACAGTATAATCTACACTCCCCCCCCC